CAATACAAGATAAAATCAAGAATGACTACATGCTATAACATCTATCAAGCAAGCATGGGTAATAAAAAAAGATCTGACCTAGCCGTCTTGCTAAGTGTGATAACCAAGCGAACACAAAGACGTGGTTTGACCTCATTTTGGCAACTTCGTTTTATTTTCTCTTTTTGACTTGCTGCAACTTGCTGCTAAGAAAGGCAGGCTCGCTGAAGATGCCGGTGAAACGCCCGAAAATGTATTAAGTCAGCGGACAGAAGGAGAACTCTCTGACAACGAGACCAAGTTGAGAAAGAGTTAAAACCACTTCTATACAACGAAGGGATACCGCGACCATAAAGGCCACGCCGTCTTGGTTTCACACCTTCGACGAAGTGAGCACATCTCTATAGAGTGAAGTGCAACGATGTCAAGCAATGATAACAATGATATAATATTCCTCAGATCATCAGCATAAAGAGTGGCTAGTATGATTTGAAGTGAGACTACTTCATAAGGTAAGGCGTATTAGCAGAACCTCTATACAGATAACCATATATAGAAAAGTTTTAGTATCCGAATAGCCTTAATAGTGTGTCAAGGTTATAGATATAAAGTATGAAGCCTTCCAACGAAGACTGAGCCAGCTCGACTTGTTGGGTGATAGGAGTTAAACGAATATTATTCTCAGTCTAGGGAGCATATAGGGCAATCAGCAGCATGAAAAATATACGAAAGGCTCACAAATTACGTTATACTGTTAGCAAGGGTAAAAATTTGGAGTTTTCGACGATCAGATTACTTCAAGACAAGACAACCGTTATGATACCAAAAAAAGAATATACGGTGTTGACATGAGTGAAATGAGTCCAGCTGACCTCTATAAATTTGTTTAAGACGCCATCCAGAAATTCTTCAGGTCGTCTTAAAGACCAACCAGGGTGGGTGACGTAGAGATGGAGGTAAACACCGGCTACCAAAATCATGCCATCAGGACCTGAGAGAGCGGCAGCTTTGTCAGCTTCACGATCATATTCACTTCCTTGATTGGCTTCTGAAGAGTCTAGCATTGCTTCGAGGTAGGATACGCGGAACAAGTCAGGCAGACTCCAGCGCAAGGATCGGTTTACGCACTGTTGGGTGAAGAAACTTAGATAAGGGGGGCGGAAAATAGGCATAAGTGGCTAAGAGAGAATGCTCAAAAGTAAATACAATTATACAATCAAGTGTAAGAAGAATAGGAAAACAAATAGCAAAATAGAGAACTCAACGAAGAAGTGAATATTAGGGACAAATAAGGTTGAAGAAGGGAGAGACTAGAAAGTTAGCCGTGCTTTATTAGCAAAGAAGTAGACAAGAAAAATGTTAATTAATATAGCTAAAATATGTAGTAGTCAATTAGGCTAAGGCATGCGAGAGAAGTTACATGAAAGTCGTAAAACCAAGGGCTATCAAATAGGGACTAGCTTACCATCCTAGAAACAATCAGCCAAGCCATGGGTTTAATGTGAGATATAGGGTCCATAAAATGTGTCGAGGGGTGAATATTTGATTGCTGAATTGTCCGTAGAAATGTAAAGTTGATGAGATAGTCTATGGCTTCATCGAAATGCTCGGATAGTTAGTATGCTACATGAATTCTCAACTATCTTAAAAGCCCTGAAAAGATCATATGCTAGTGGTATATAACCTTATTCATATATCTATGACAAATAGCGAGATTTTGGCAACTTAGTCAATACCTCGATATATGATAACGCTTTTAAGCTAGCCAACGTGCCAAATTGGCAAGCATCATAAATTCTTTAAAAAAAAAACAAAGCAGTCGATAGTAGATTATTTCGGAGTCTCCAATAGATCATATACAACAAGATGAAAGTGTGCACATAGTAAAGTACAGGAGCAAGAAACAGATCCTGTATTCAGGCATTTGGATACTTGGAAAATAAGTTAGTCGCAAGAGCTATAGCTGAACAATCTGAGTGGGTGGAAAACGCAAAGCAATCATTAAGGTACACAGGTCAGGGCATTAGGCCACTATTCTTTACTTACTTCCTATAATCATTGAACGGGGTTATTTTGAAGGCTAGGATAAATTTCTATAGGGACCAAAAATAGCCCAGGCATGGCGACTGCTTAAAAATGTCTGGTCGTTTGTGAACATTGATGAGACCGTTACAGAAAGGGCTCACGTGGATCAAGCACAGT